CACGCACTTAATTGGAACTAAAATTATCGTGTCCCAAAGCATCAACCAATCAAATTGCTTATCCCTACTTACCCTAAGCAGAAAATGCTCATCTTCACACTCCATCAAGGCATTGACCTAATAAACACCTACACCAAGTTTGAACATTTTAGCTCAATTAGAAGGAGAGTTATTGTGTTTCAAAGTCTCGGACAATCAAATTGCTTATCGCTCTGCTTACCCGGAGCAGAAAATGCTCATTATCGAATTTAGTCAAGGTATTGATGTAATGAAACTATACACCAAGTTTCATCACTCTCACTCTCAATTAGAACTAAAGTTATCGTGTCCCAAAGCATCAACCAATCAAATTGTTTATCTATGCTTACCCTAAGCAGAAAATGCTCATCTTCGAACTCCATCAAGGCATTGACCTAATAAACACCTACACCAAGTTTGAACATTCTCGGTCAATTAGAAGGAGAGTTATTGTGTCCCAAAAAGTGTGACGGACAGACAGCTGTCCAGATTTTGATTTGAAATTTAATATATACTCTGATATAAGTGACAGGATCATAGGCACAAATCAATTCACGAAATACGAACTCAACTGTCATTATGGTGTAACCAGTGTTCGACACAAACGTCGGTCCGCAGGCCCGAGGCCGACTGATTTATCGGAGGACTCCTGCTTGCCTATTTCACTCGGGTCCGCCGGGCCTTCGACAATTTGGGAAATGCTAGAACTGCCATAGAAACGCAACCTCCGAGTCTCCGATAGTTGACGGTTATTTTTTACTTGTCATCGACATGACGGAAGCTGCTGTTTTTCCAAACATTGACTCGTGTAACCAGCCTTTGATTTGTAACTGGGTTTTTTTTGTCGGCTTTAGCCGCTTGAACTTTAAACAATCCGATTGGTAAAAACAATGAATCGGCCACTATGGTATCATAAATCAATCTACTTTCGGCTAAATTTAACAGGTTAATTATTAATTTTTGATTAAGTAGTCAATCAACTTGCTTGTTGGCTACAATAACAGTCATACCTCTCGATATGGATTGCGAATCTGGCTCGGGAATCGCGCTTCTTCGACGCTCCATATAGATTCCAGGTACCGGTAGATAATAATATAATAATTGGATCATGCATTTAATGGTTTGGCTGACCAGTTGTTACAGAAATTTAAATCTTAGTTGAATATAATCCTCAGAACAGTCATTAATAATATATTTTTCCGACAAAATCTTCGATGCCAAATCCGCCGATGACATGTGACATCAGTTGGAATTTCTAGGTCAATAAGCCAGCGATGCTAGGTTTAGTTTTAAGTAACGTTTACCGTTATGATTTTTTATTTGATACACATGCTGGCAGAGGCTAAATTTTAAACATATTGTCGTTATTATTATTGAAAACTATATGGCATAGTCGTACGGAATTTTATTTTAAAGTAATTTCAATTATGGCTGTCACGTGATCACTGTGCCGTGTGTCTCTCATGGACGAATGAATAAAAACATATTTGCAAGTTACGTGTTACAAAAACTACAAATTGTGTTATGAAAAATACCACCGAGCTGTATGTAGTAGTTATTAGCACACTTTCCGAGGTGTATCGGTGAATATCAGGACAGTTTTGGTCGAGGGGCCCAGCCGAGGTGGCTCCCGACCAAAACTGTCCTGATATTCACCGATGCACAGAAGAAAGGTGCTAATAAGTTACTTACATCACAATTCTATCGAGTATTGTGAAGCAAAATGTGAAAAATATTATCGAGTCGTTTCAACCGAAAAGTGACAAATACTTTCTGCTCTTTCATTATTTATCCCTTTCTGAGCCTCACGTTACATTTCATGGTAGAATGATTTCGCAGTGGAGAGACGACCTGAGAAGTATTTACACGTGCGTCTTGCGACGATACTCTGAGCGTAAAACAATCACATGTTTGTTTAGACCACATCGTCAAAACAACTTGTCTATGGCGTAGAGGACTGCGATATTATTAAATGTAGTGTAAAGGAAATGCGAAACGTGGGTCATTCCTGGTGAAAGTATGCATCGGCGGATGGTTCTTCCGTTGAAATTTATTTGTTATAAAGTTTATGACTTTCTAGGCGTTTTTTTTCATCCTGCTTATTTTCAATGCCTATGAAGCGTCCAGCAAGAGAACTGCGCCTTCTATCACCACAATTAATTAAAATAATTATTCAATATTCTAATTTATATATTTTTCATATTAATATAAATCAAACCAAATTATGAAATAGATGCCAATTGATATGTATAATAATTGATTTTTGTAATATGTTGTTATGTTAATTTAATGTCATTGTATATGTTTTTGAACTGCCATGTAGTTCCCCCCATTTTGTTTTGTTACTATGATTTTGACTAGTTGTTACGTGTACATTGGTCAGAGCCATCGTTATCAATTGCGATCTGGGTCGGACTAAACGTCCGCTACTTAATGCTTGATAGGTATCTAAAACGGTATAAAAGTATCAGAAATGAACAGTACACTTTCTATACAATTCTGATACACGGATACTTTTATGCATGTATTGCAAATAAACAGGACAATTTTATCAAAGGTTGCCAGTGGCAACGAGTAGAAGTGGGATGTAACATTTTATATCCATCCAAAAAACGAAGACAGTAATTTATTCAGGAATATTACTGACACGAAAATTTTCTGAACGGTGTAGCTGTAGGCCTACCTATTATTAAAGGTAATGGAAGCTTATAATTTTAAAACCATTTCCTACGGGACCTCATTTGACTCAATTCTAGGCTATTGTGCTAACAATCTAGGGCGGGATAAGCGAGTTTATGCCATTCCTCAACGTTATCGCCAGGCGTCAAGTTTTTTTGTGTAACTGTTTGAAGTTGACCTAGTTTGATGAGAAAACCCGTAAATTATGTAGCCGTGAATAGATTTGTTTCCATTAAATTGAAATGAAATTAAGTTACTAAACCCTTAGTCCTTCTGTGGTGTACTGGCTTTATATGTACTTCCTTTATTCTGATCGTTCTGTGCTTCGCTTGGAAACTATAAATTTTATTATTATTGGTTGGGCCTGTGTGTCACCTGAAGGACCCACATGATCACGTGTCACACAGGTCCTGTGGGCCTGTGCTTGGAAAATGTTTGTTTCGGACACTGGGTGTTACGGTGATATATTTGAACTTTTTTGAAATCGGATAAAAATTGTGACCTGTATAGGTTCCACAGGCTCAAAACACGTTTGTTGTTCAATCAGGGGCCATAATCCAGGAAGTTACGGTTCGATATGCAACAATATTGAGATCTTTGGGTTATAAACACACATGTTCAGTTTCATCACAATGGGCTATAAATTGTGACCTCTAGTGTGTACAATCAGGGGCCATAATCCATGAAGTTACGGTCCCATAGGCCATACAAGCCAATATCGAACATATTCCTGAAGCAATGGCCCGAGAAATCTCTCTCTGGCCATTGCTGGATTAGCTTCTGAAACTTGCACTTTTGAGGGAGTGTGTCTAGTCTTAATGTTCAATCCAATCTATCCCTAAGCACAGCAACATGACATCCCTTCTTTTAATCAGGGGCCTTTCCTAAAACTTTGGACAGTGATTTAAGGTATTAAAAACGGTGAAAGTTTTGTTCCACTCAAAACTGTATTGTTTAAATTATATCCGTGCTGATAGCCTCGTTTGTCACACAATTAGTTTTTCTGCAATATTCACTGGTTAATTAGGCATAATAAAATCATGAGTCATGACGTAACGTTATGTAAACATATTTGGTCCAATTTGGAGCTCTGTTTAGTATTGTTACGCAGTTAGCTATTGGTTGTTAATTGGACTATTGACCAGTCATAATTTAGAACAAGAATTTGCCGTCTTTACAGCAGTGAGTAATCGGATTAGCTCTAATCAAACGAAACACTGCGAGGAGTATGATATCGAAAGGAACCAAGATCTTTGGGATATATACCCATATTTCAAGTTATGACCTGTAGAGTGTCCACAAATAAGGTGTGAAAGTGTTGGCGTATAAAACATATCATCAATCTAGTGTCGAACGTACTATTAAACGGACAAGTGAATATAATGGACGGATTTAAGTGGAATTCTTTATGTAGATAAACACGTGAAATCAACATTTGATCATGTGACATTTCGGTAACTATGAGGTTTTAAAGTAATTTTATGTACTGTAATTTAATTTGTTCAGAGAATAAATTATCCCAAAATACATGTTCATTTTTCAGATAAATGTCTATTATTAGTAAAACTGTCCATTATTTTCAATAATAGACGACTGTTTAAGAAAAGCGTACATTCTCCTATATACTGGTTAAAAACATCAAAGGGTGACGTCATATTTATGTTTTAATTGTTGTAAATATAACAGAATAAAAGTATTCAGCATTCATCAGTTATTTTTCAGGTAATTTTTTTTCCAATCTGCTTTTCTAACCTTAATACTTAAATTGGACTACAGCATACAGCGTTATGATTCTTCAATAACCAAAATCTATAAAACATTGCTGTACCATTCTATACCTTTAAATGGCAGTAATGACTTTGTTAAAACATCGCAAAACATAATAATGCATGAAGAAATTCTTTGAATTACAAGAATTTCCATTATTTATGTCAACAATTAAATGATCTGGGTTAATGAAGACAGGCATACGCCATGCAGTGTGTTATGAGGGACATTTTGTCCAGACAGAGGCGCTTTGGCCTACTCTTATATCAAATTCCAACTGCCATGGTCTCTATGCCAATGTGTACATGGGACCTGGGTTTTTCGTACAAACCGAATGACTAGACAGCTGTCCTTGTCAGGCCCTCCGTCCTACATCACTGACAAGGGGAAAGCACGCTGGAAAATCCTGATAAACTTTCTCGACCAACACCAGGAGCAAACCCGCGACCACCAGGCTAGTGAGCCAGCATCTTACTCACTTAGCCAACGTGGCTCCCTGTAGAATTCAAAAAATTTTTAATCATCAATCAACATACCTTACAAGAAGAAAATATATCTCTGGTCTTGTAGAGATCTCTTTAAATAATGCAACAAATTCATCGCTGTTCAATCTGTTACGTAAACCATCTCCTCTTTTAATTTGTAATTCCTGAAAGTAACAAAAAATATTTCAATATTTGTTTTGGATCTACCAACAACAAAAACTACTGTGCAACATGAGTAGAACAATGTTTATCTACAAAACATGACAATGGCACTAGGTATAGCATGAAAACAAATCATAGTGTTCATAACAGGAGCTTTTACGAGTTTCCCTTTTGACGCCATTTTCGTTCAGTGCCTGGCCTTATTTACTCACAGAAACTTGTAGGCGGTTACATATTTTAGATACCAAAAGCATGTATTGCTTAAAATGGAACTGGCAACTATTTCCATTTCGGAAAAAAGGTTTACTGACCAGTACCAGAAGTTGATATTTGCGAGACTATTATTATTATTTTTCTGCTAATTCTTTGTTACCATATAGATCGTCTTGGTTTAGCTTTTGGCACTTAAGTGAAATTTTAATCCAGTCAGTTTATCTCCATCATCGCAGCCAAGAACGACACATTTGTGTCCCATTTTATCAAAATTTCAAATTCAGTACTTGGTTCAGAGATTGTCTGTTGAATGAAAATATATAACTAGGATACATACCATACAATCTTGATGTATCAGGATACACAACATTTGATTTTTGTCTACGAATGTGTGTGTCAGTGCTCTATTGTGTCTCTGAACACAGGAGTCTGACCTTCTATCCGTATATTTTATACATACACCATGTCCAACCAGACAATAAAAAAGAACAGGAATGCAATGCCTGTTGAAGCCTCGATTTTACCTGCTCTCGCTTCGTCTCATTTTTTTTCAACAATACGTATTGTCAGGCAACCAAACCTCAGTCAATTCACTCAGATATGTTTTTTCTTCAATCTAGCCGTTTTGATTTGCATAAATACTCCCCACAAAACGATATCATAGCTACTTGTTTTCAATATTTACATTGTTTTCATTCGTTACCGATGGTCATTGCCGCCATGCGCTGATGTCACACAAAATCAATCTGCAGTGACTAAACCACTGAAACAAGTGCCAAAGATATTTTTAGTTTTTCTCTCCCTTTCCATTTTTCCCCCTTTTTCATGGCAATTTTTGTTGACTTTTGGGTGTAGAATAGAAGAAGAGGGTTTGCATATACATTTTCTGCCAGGTTTTGGTGAATATTTATCATTTTGAGGCGGAAGTATACAAGACTTCAGAGGTTGGTTAGGTTTTTGTGTGACGTCAGTGCATGGCGGCAATGACCATCGTTAACGAACGAAAACAATTTAAATATTGAAAAATGTAAAACTTTCATTGTGACTTATCCACTGGTACAGTAGTGTTTTTCAATAGAATTAGATACAGAAATTATACAATGTACATTGACAAGGATGACACACAAAAATTTCTTAAGAAATACAAAATGAAATGAAATGAAATGGAATGGGGTTTAACGTCCTACTGTTTTGCTCTGAACTGGGCTAATGAAGACGGGCATATGCCATACAGTGTGCTATGAGGGAAATTTTGCCCGGACAGTGGCACTACAGCCTACTCTTATATCGAATTCCAACTGTCAAGGGATCTTTTACGTGCACGCCAATGTGTGCATCACTGACAAAGGGGAACCATGCCGGAAAATCTGGGTGAACTTTCTCGGCCAGCATCTTACCCACTAAGCCCATAAGAAATATCCATTTCCAAATTGCTCGCACTTTTCTATGAAGTTTGGCAAAAGATCAAGGAAATCCAGGAGCACAGTTTCTACTCAAAGGGTGACAATTATTTTATCACGGTTATCCAGTATTGTAGACAAGTTAAAAGATAGGTTGCCACTTGAAGTAATCTACAGAAATTGTTGAAATTTGACAGGCTTTTACGTTTTACTAATCTAAATAATGCATATAAATTTCATACAGATCAGATGATCACTTTTGTCATTCAAACGTTCACAAGGTTCACAATCGCCATAACTCTAGAAATTATTGACGGAAATTGCTGAAATTCAATAGACATTTGTTTCACAAATTTAAATGATGCATATAAATTTCATACATATCGGATGATAACTTTCATCAATCGAGCATTAACAAGGTTGCACAAAGTGAAAAAAGGGCCCTAACTCAGGAAGTAATAAACTGAAATTCAATAGGATTCTTCTCTTTACTAATTTAAATGACGCATGTAAATTTCATACAGATCGGCAGATAACTTTTGATGTTAGAACGTTCACAAGGTTCAATAAAGTGAAACAAGGGCTATAATTCTAGACGTAACAAACAGAAATTGCTGAAATTCAATAGGCTTCTTCGTTTCACTAATTTAAATTATGTTATATAAATTTCAGAAAGATCGAATGATAACTTTTGGCTTTAGAGCGTTCACAAGGTTCAATAAAGTGAAACAAGGGCTACAATTCTAGACGTAACAAACGGAAATTGCTGAAATTCAATAGGCTTCTTTGTTTCACTAATTTAAATAATGCATATAAATTTCAGAAAGATCGGATGATAACTTTTGGCTTGAGAGCATTCACAAGGTTCAATAAAGTGAAACAAGGGCCATTACTCTAGACTAATGAACAGAAATTATTGAAATTAGATAGGCTTCTTCGTTTCACTAATTTAAATCATGCATATAAATTTCACAAAGATTGGGTGATAACTATAGGCGTTAGAGCATTCACAAGGTTCAACAAGCCAACAGTGAGGCTGACGTCCCCCGCCGAAATTGCAAAATAAATAGATGACACATATTAATCAATCACACATTTATTTTTTTTCATCACTTTCTATCAGATAGAATCAAGATTATTTTGTTCCAAACCATCGACAAATGAAATCGATTAGCTCAAGACATTCACCTAATTAGTTTTGTAAGCCAACAGGACCCGCTGGTAGACGCCATTCATGATAGTTGTAGGTCCTAACATTAACTTGTGGGCCCAATAAATATTAACAAAACACACATACACTACCCCACCCCAAATTCCTTGAACTTCTAAGTTCCATAGGTATCTTCTACAGCCATTTGGGATAGGTTTAAAAGTTCAAATATGTATTTAATATTGATTAACTGTTCACATTACAATTTTAACTTTTGAAAGATTTAATGTTTATACTTTATGTATAGAAAGAAAAAAATCATTCCACCCCAGGCTTGTTATTTATTTTTTCTGTAATAAATATTCACTTGTAATAATCTTGGTGAGTATATGTAGGTCTACTTTATAGTACTGACAACGTATCTTGAAATTCCATTCATATAGAAATCTGAAGATTAAAATGGCCCTTCACATTGTCCGAAAATTAACAGAAAATATTGTGCATATAAATGAAATGAAACTGGCTTTTAAGGTCTTACAAAACACAGATTAATATGTCTTACATTTCAATGAATTAAATTTGCTGTTCGATACCAATAATCATTTGATTTGTTTCATTCATCATGACACGTGGAACTGTGAAATGAAGACCGTGACCTCTTTCAACATGAAAGTAAACTATCAATGCTGTTTGGCAGACGACACTCATTTTTTATCATTATTAAAACTGACCTGATGTCACACGTTGGGATAGCCTATATTTATGGAACGATAAACTCTTTGTTATTCTTTCTATATGACATATTGCACTGCCTGATTTCGAAGACTTGGGTCTGCAGTACGGTAGTGAAATCTTCATTAAAGAAATAGACTTGATAATCAAGTCTGCTATTAAATCACAAGAGTTGGAAATAATGGTGGGAAATGTCACTCGTTTTACCTCGCTGGAATTATATTGTTATCCGTAGTTAGGCTTTTAGGGAATTTTCAGCTCTGGTTTTTCAATTTTATTTTTACAAAACAAAGGTTTTATATCACGTGAATATTTATTCATGGATTCATGACAGTAAGTACAGTAGATGGATACAGTAGATGGACTGACCTAGTTTAGTAGCATACATGTTTGGATCTCTCCATTGAAGGAATATAATATACCGGATTATGCATGTGTATTCAATATCGGATAAAGACAAATAAGACAGTAAGTAAGGCATACCATCGGAACACACACTCGTCTTCACACTTGATCAAAATGGTTAAATAAATATCCTGGGAGTGTGCTGATATTTGCAAGCATGTAAACAAAAAAGATCGCGATTTTCGGTTATCAACATCGATTTGGGATATTGTAAGGTGTAATTTAGCTAAGAGATTTGTTCTACCCTACTGCATTTCAGCTCTGAGAGGTTGACAGGTCTGGTCAATCGGATGATAACTTTGGTCTCTAGCAATGAAAGGATTTCAAAATTTTTTACCAAAAAATAAAGGCACATAACTCTTATCGTTATTTAAGATGGCAGTTTTTAGACCACACACAAAATTCACGTGTAAACAAAATATTCCAAATCGTCCGTAATAAAAAAATAGGTGTACCTCGTTATTTTTCATATTTAATTCCCGTACGGTATTCAAATTTATGTCAGTAATATTCCTACAAAATTCGTAATACGATAGAATGAAAGCGTGCAGACTACTGTCGATCTGTACTGTTTCAAATTCCTCCAAAATTACCGTATTTTTGGGTCATAAGTCGCTACATTTTTCAGCAGAAGTCCGGCATTTTACTCCGTTACGACTTATGTACAGAGGGTAAGAATATGATATCCCGAAATTTTTTGGCCAATAAACATCGCTATACCACAACGAGCGAATGACAACATCCGCTAAATAATCGCATTCTACTCTAGCACGCGCTATCGTCTAAAACAATTAAGTACTTACACTATTCCAATCGACATATTCGTCAACATTGCCTAGATTACTTATTTCTTTATTTAAAAACATAAACCCCATTAAAAATATGATCATAAATCCGAGAATATGCCATCAAAATAGAATCTTTTCTTCGACATTAAAAGCGTGTATTTTGTCACGTATTCATTTCATAATTTCACGCATCTCGCAAGATTTCTAATATAGGTTCAGTTATCGTACTTTAACCGCCTGAAGTTGTTTTTCTTTCAAGTTTAATCAGATTTTCTTCAAACAAGGACAACTTTGCTCTGAAAATTCTAAACACG